TTTTTTTTTTTTTTCCTCATAAGTCCCATCTCTGCTGCTCACCTCCACCCTCCAATTCTTTACTCTTCAGAAAACCCAGAAAATGTTGTAATAAAGTCATAATAGATCCCATGGCTCTTTAGGGTTGTGAGTTTACAGGCAGTTGGTGCTAGCTCTCTGGTGTGATTTATTCTTCAGCCTCTCTGCTCTTCTGCTGCGGGGGGAGAGAGAGTATTAATAACCTGTCATGCAAAAATTTGGCAGTGGTATAAAAATAATCCTTTACTACGTGTTTTTCTTCGCTGACCTCTGCTGTTAAAGTAAATGAGTAACGTAAAGTGTCCCTTCTTTACCATTGAAATGTTACTGTTAATTTGATTTTCTCTCTCTCTTTTGTCTTCATGTGAGAATAAAGCTAGTGAAAAGTAACCGTGACAGTTTTCTACATATCAGTTCACCAGCACCTGCCAAGAAATACACAGATCCTGTCATGGGTGGGCTCTGGGGAAGAAGTGTGGGTACCAGCTTTGACACGGGAAGGGGTTTTGTGTTGTGTTGCGTGTGCGTATTGTGTTTGTGTTACTTTCAGGGTAGCTTACTTACCTCTCAAGACTTTACCTGCTTATGTGTTTATTTTATTATTTTATGTTAAGTTCTGTTATTGTACTCTTTTTTTATGTTTTTCTTTTTTTTAATGTTTATTTGTTTGAGAGAGAGAGAGAGAGAGGGGGAGAGGAGGGGAGGGGCAGAGAGAGAGGGAGACACAGAATCTGAAGCAGGCACCAGACTCCAGGCTTTGAGCTGTCAGCACAAAGCCTGACACGGGGCTTGAACTCATGAACTGAGAGATCATGACCTGAATCAAAGTTGGACGCTTAACCGACTGAGCTACCTGGGCGCCCCTGTTATTGCACTCTTTTATATATAGGCAGGAGGCTCTGGTTACATGCTGTGGCATAGGATATATCGATAGGATGCTTTCCTCTGCAAGAAATTGAAAACCCAGATCAAACTGGCATTAGCAGTAAAGAGAATTTATTGGCTTCTGTTGCTGAAAAATCCAGGGGCAGATGGCTTTCAGGGTAGGGTTGATCCAGCCATTTCACAGTGTTACCACAAATCTGGTTTCTTTTCTTCTACTGGCTCTGCCTCTGCAATGGTTGGCTTTAAACCAAGAGTGGACCTCCTCCTGAAGTCCTAAGATGGCTGGAAGTGGCTTTTGGGGTCATATAGTTAAGTGTTAACATCCAGAAGAGAGTCTCAGAAAAGGACTTTGTCTCTGCATCCTCCAAAAGGTCTTACTTAGGTCGTGTGCCTGTCAGTGGAGTCAGGAAGATATAGTACACTGATTGGCTTAACCTCAGTCACCCTATGCATATCTATATAGGGGGGTAGAGTCAGCTTCCCCAGAAGTGCAGGGTCCCTAGTTATAGATATTTTTGGGAAAGGAGGGAAGTGTGTGATGCTGGAAAAGCCACCAACAAATGTTAAGTATATATGGCTTATCAATCCCTGAAGTATGAACAAATACATAGCTTTCATTGTTGTTGTTCTGGATGTTTCAACTGATAAATACTGGTCCTAGAAATATGTCATTGAAAGCAGGGCCCTATGTATTTTTCTCTAGTTCCCCCGTCTTGATCCCTTGTTTTCCTAGCCATACAGGAGAAGGCTTGTCAGAAGGAGGTCAGGTCGGGGAGCTCCTTCCTGCTATCCCAGAATCTGAAACGGGAGGGAGGGAGGAAGCACAGAAAAGCACATTATTAACCCATTCAATAAAATATAGTTCAAGAAAAGAATTTGTATTGCTTGCAACTTTATTCATAAAGAAACAGGTTCAATGAAACCAAAATGTCATAAGAAATATGCCTGCTTAATTTGTTAATTTCCCACACTGTGGACTTTCCTCCTCGCAGTTCCACAGCCCCTCCTCCCCCATGCCACATCCTTGCTCAAATCCTCTCCTTTCCAGTGAGCAATAAAGAAATGACCTGTAACCTCTCCTCCTCTGTCTCCAGTGGGCAGTTTGCAGTCGTGAAGAAATGCCGGGAGAAAAGCACTGGTCTGCAATATGCCGCCAAGTTTATCAAGAAGAGGAGGACGAAATCCAGCCGGCGGGGCGTGAGCCGCGAGGACATCGAGCGGGAGGTCAGCATCCTGAAGGAGATCCAGCACCCCAACGTCATCACCCTCCATGAGGTTTATGAGAATAAGACGGACGTCATCCTCATTTTAGAACTGTGAGTGCCGCCTTCGTGGCTGTGGCTGGGCCAAGGAGGCATGGGGTGGGGATCAGAGTGGGTCGAGGTCAGCCCTTGGCGTCCCTGCAGCTGGACAGCTCGGGGGCGAGCGCTGAGCCTCAGGAAATAACTCCGTTTTGCCTAGTTCGAGGACAAGCGTGAACCGCCTGCCCTGAGGCCTGGCTGCAGTTTCCTAGAATGACGCTGAAGAGCAGCTGCCGTGAATGTGGTCCTGCCCGACTTGCAAAGAGGCCCCCAAATCTTGGGGCTCCTCTTCCTGTGTCATGAAGCCATCCGTCTGCTGAGTTTTATGATAAACTTTAAGCTTATGTTCTTTTTCTCCTCTCGCTGTTCCTCTGCCTTCCCTCTGTTTTTCTATTTCTCTTCCACCTCCCTTGATTTTAACCCCCCACCCCCATTTTCAGCTGTTGGAATTGTCAACACTGATTGTATAAAAGGGTAAAATTGAGCCAGAGGTGATTATAGGACTTGTTTTTAAAGCATTTTGCTTATTTTCTTAGGCAGGCCCTGCCTGTAGGATGTTATTGTGGGAAACTGATCTCAGCCTGTTGTTCTGTGTTGTATCTGTCTGTTCCCAGGCCCCTGCTTGAGGGCCCCACTCCTCTCCTGCTGAAGAGACAGGCTGGAGGAGGCAGGGGTGGGGGGTAGGAAGCTCTCTAAGAGAGCCTGGCTGGGAATGCCTCTGATGTCTCTGGGCTGCTCCCATGGAGATGAGGGCAGGAGCCATGGATGGAGCAGAAGACAAAGGGACAAACAGTCCTGGGTGGTTCTCAGTGATGCCAGGTTCCACTCGTTTCCTGGGTCCTCCCGAATTCACATCTGCCCTGGGCCAGCCAAACAGCTCCCCTTGTTTGCAGACCAGTTAGGGCTAGGAGGCGATTTCTAGACCAGAAGGGATGGAAGGAAAGAGGTTTATGGAGGGCCCAGCCTAGCCCTGAGGGCATCATACTCTAGGCTCCCTGGGCTTTGCCATCAGAGGGGCCTGGGGCTGCCCACAGATTCTCATCTGTCTCTGGTGTAGGGGCACTGTATTTTAGTGGGTCTGAGCAGAAACTTTCTTAACTAGAAATTGGGGTTAATAATAGCTATCTCAGCAGGGTCTTGAGGAAATACGAGAGTTAAGAATTTGACAATACTTAGCACAGTGAGCCGTGAACATGTTTCCTTCCTTCTGTTCAAACAGAAGATCCCAACCTCTGCCCTAGAGACATTTGGGGCTGGATAATTCTGTTTCAGGGGCTTACCCTGTGCATTGTAAGGTGTTTAGCCGCATCTCTGGCATCTGCCCAGTAGATGCCAGTAGCACCCTGCCCACTGTCTGTGACAACTAAACCCACCTGCACACAATGCCACATGTCTCCTAGGGGACAAAATATCCCCCTTCTCTCCATGGAAAACTCCTGCTTTAAGGAAGAGCAGGGCCTTAAGAACATAGGGGATTAAGGGGCCCTGCTGGGGACAGCAGAGAAAAGAGAGGAGTCAGAGTGTAATCCTCGCTGCAGTTTCGTGTGGTGACTCTCGAGAACCAGACGGAACTGAGATCAAAATCCAGGCCAGTCCTTGACCATCCATAAGCCTGCATTTCCTCTCTTTAGGCTGTTGTAAGAGACCATGAATACAAAATTCCTGGGGGGAAAAAAACATTACAAATCACAGCTGTTTTGCCTTTTCAGAGAATTCCAAGGTTGTATGCAGTGACTCAGGAATGTGTCTTATCTTCTCTATACACTGAACTGTTGGCTGCTGGCTGAACCCTGCTGGCTCCCACCTGCCCGTGCACATTCTGGATTCAGCTTGACCCCATCCCGTAGACATTTCCCGTTAGGTCCATTTATCCTATGCATAAATTGGGTGATATATA